TGAAAGGGTATGCATATGTGACCCTAAACTAAAATGCAAAATTTGCAGGTCCTACTGGTGGAGGCTCTGGACAAGAGACAGACAAACTTCTCAGAAGGAAGAGTATCTTAACGGTACCAACAACTTCTTCAGTCTGTCACATCCTTTCCTCAGGAGAACAGCCTTGAGGTCCAAAGTTTAAGGGGTTGTGATGTCAAAACAGTAACTATTCCTCCACAATGATATTCACACTGTTGGGATGTGTTAATTGAAGGATCCAGTGATCTTTGTGAATACTGGGCAACTGACAGCCAGTTGTGATCAGCTTGGCTTCAGCTGCTCAGCAATATCGCGTCCACCCACCAGTGTTCTTAGTGAAAGGGGTTTTCCATGGCAGGTGGCATTGTTACATTCTGTTGCCATTCTTTGGATTATGATTTAATGCAGTATTTGCTTTTCTCTAAAAGTTAACTTCTGATTCCTCAGCTTTCTTGAGGTCTCAGAAAGAACAACCCTACAGCTTCTCCAGCACCAGCTTCTCCTTTTCTCTTTCTGCTTTTCTTTTGGTTCTTTTCTTGGTTTGGTTTGGTTCATTCTTCCCAGTGACTGCCTTTGTCTGTGCTTCCTGGCTGTTGTTGCTTCTCTTACTGCTAAGACTCCCCCCCCCCCTAATATTCACTTCATTATGCCATGTCCTACACTCTGGAGCAATAGAGAGCAGATTTTGATTTTTTAGATGTGATTTTCTTTCTTTTACTTTAAAAGTATTTATTTCTTTAAAGTATCTTTAAAAAGTATTATTGTGTCTCCCTCCCCTTCATCAGTCTTCTCAAGTCTGAACTCTTTAAATTCTAAGCATTTGGAACTAGTATATTCATGATTTAGAAACAATGCTTCTGCTGATGTAGCCTAAAATTACATTTTGCCTTTTTTGGTATCACACCATGTCACACTGATGGCTCATATTCCATTTGCAGACAGCTACAATTTCAAGATTTTTTTTACAAGTGCTATTACCAAATCAAATATCTCCCATCCTATACTTATGCATTTGGTTGCTGTTTCCAAAATGAAAAAAGTTCCATTTATCCCGGTTAACCTTCATTCTTTATTTTCAGCCCATTTCTATAATTTGAATACTCATCTATAGTACATGCTTTCTCACTCAATTTTGGGTCATCTGCAGATTTAATAACCACTTCCTCCACCTCTTTACCCAAGGCATTTATAAAAATATTGAAGAATAGAGGAATGAGGACTCCACCTTGTGGTATCCTTTTTAATAACTCACTCCAGTTTACTGAGGAATGATTGATAAGCATTCTCTGAGTATGATTTTTGGGCCAGATTATGTACCTACTTAAGTGTCATGATATCCAGCTTATATTTAACTAGAATGTCATTACTTAGAATGTCATAGGGTACTTCTGGTCCAACTACTATAATCAAACAGTGGTTTTATCAGAACTAGAAACAGATTTCTGCGCATTTTATTATTTGTTTTTATCTTATTTGTCTGGATGGCACCCCAAAGGTTCTGCCATCTTCTTGTCCCACCAAAGCAACAATGTCAGGACTTCAGGCAAAATGGCAATGTGCTAAGATGTAATTTATTTCTTTCTCCCTTTGAAAGTTACAGAGACAGCACTTGTCAGTTGTTTTTGAAGAAAGTTTTTAAACAGAAATACTAATTAAGTTCTTTCTGTTACTCCTGGTATTCGGGGGAGATAAAAATGCCTTGAAAATGTAAGAAGCCATCTCTCACTTTCATGCAGACTTCCTTCAGGCAGCTCCCCCCACCTCTGGCTTCTGGGGAGTGAGGCTTTGAGTGCACAATTATCAATATCCCCTCATAGGTTGGGACTCTGGCCGAAACTCCAGTTCAGAGACAGAAGTACATCTCTGCACCTCTTAGAATACAGTGCGAAAGTAGATCATATGGAGGAAAAAATATAATAATATTAGGAAAAAGTTTTTTAAAAAGCAAGAAGCTAAAGAATGAAGCAAATGAGACACTGAACGCAGCATTCGTTTTTCAACATACAATACTGAAAATGAAGCCTAAAGGATTGCGGGGGGGGGGGGGGGGGGGGTTGTTTTTTTGTTTTTTGGCAAGAAACTCATACTCTTCCTGAAGGGAAAAAAATAGATGTGGACTGAACACATTTATATACATGAAAAATCAAATTTTGATTAGCAATTTTAATGACATCATATTCGAATTTATTGTTGAACAAGGTATTTTGGATTCTGAAGGATGTTATATAGTTTTGGTTGTTCAAAAGGAAATGCCAGATAGCTTTGAAAAAGTTTTCTGGCCCCACCTGATAAATGTAATACTGGCTCATTCACAGTTTCTGATCATGCACCCCTTTCTAACATTATTGATTTTGTAAGGGACCTAGGGAGACACTTAGTGGGAGGTAGTATTTTCATACTTTATTGGATGATCCTTGGTTTGCTGAACCACAGAGAGAAGGTATGGACAGATTTTTTTCAAACAAACAGTCAAAGCACTAGTAGATAATTTAAAGCATTTACAGTATGTAGTATACGATAATAGCCTAGGCATCTTAGGGAAAAAACACGTTCAAATTGTACTGCAAAAAAGTAGAAAAGGGGAAAAAAGCATTGAAATATTTTTGGCAGATCTTGTAGTCTGGATGCATATCAAGGTTTTAAATCAATTAAACTGGAGTTTTATCGATTACATGCATTAAATACTAAATACCAGCTAATGTGGGTGAAGCAAATGTATTGAGAGCTGGGAGAAAAAAACTGGGAAATATGGCTTCTGGCTTCAAACCACAATAACCCACAGGGAAAATTCACGGTGACTATGATGAAATTAACTTCCAGTTTATGGAGTTTTATACAGGGTCTGTTCAGCAAATAGAGAATTGTCTAGTGATCAGAGTGGTGTTTATTTTAATGAAACCGGTCTTCCAGAAATTTCAATTGTACGGTTGGGGAATTTTGCCTTACCTTTAATGGTGCAGGAGACTGGTAATACTATAGATATGATGAAATCTAGAAAAGCCCCCTGGAGTGAATAACCTCTGAGTGGCATTTAAAAAAATTAAGGGCACTGTAACTCCTATACGGATAGAGATAGACAAGAATCTTTTGAAAGATCTGGCCAGTCTCATACTACAAAGCTTATATAACAGTTATTTTAAAAACTGATAAGGATCCCATGAAATGTGCAAGTTATTGTCTAATATCTTCGATAGTCTGGATAATAAGATGTTAACAGTAACTTTGGTAAGATGATTACAAAAGACAGTACCTTCAGTACGATAATTTATCACAATCGGGTTTTATGAAAGTCTTCAAATAATATGAATGTACAGTATAATAGCTTTATGCAGTTTGCTAATACAAGTGACACTACTCTTTCGGGTCAATTAGAAGCAGAAAAAAGTTTCAGCACAGTTAAATCAAGTTCCTGTACAAATTATGAAGACGTACAAATTTCCCATATAATTTTTTTTGGGGGGGGATAAAAAATGTATTGTTCCAATCTCTGGGGTCATGTAATTATGAATGGGATTGTTTTTTGTGTAGTCTAAATGCAATGCAGAATTTGTCAAAAATGCCATTTATCTCCTTTAATATTTAATTTGATACTGGTCCCCTGCTGTCTTTAATAAGATGAACTAGGGAATGCATGGGCCTGAACTGGATTATAAATTGTTACTATATGCAGATGATATTTTGGATTTTTTTTTGTTTAATAATTATGAAAGATCTTCACCTAAATTTGTTGAAATTATACAGTTACATGGGATATATCCTGGGTGTACAATAAACTGGAATATACTGTATCTAATATGCCTATTCACAATATTGCAGCTAAGAACGTAGATAAAGATTTAGAGTTCGTTTATTGCTCAGAATCTATCAAATACCTGGGGATTATAATTC